AACCTTCTCTGAGCTTTTCGCGTAGTTTTACTCGCGAGAAAGTTTGCTCGCCTTTCGATCGATCATCCATCCGCGTAAATTTCTTCGAGAAACGAAGGTAAATGATATATAAATGATATTTGAATTGCAATTTTAAAAGAAAATTGAAATTTTCGTTTCATACATCGAGAATTAAAAATCTTTTTGAAAGAATGCTCTTTCTTAACGATATCTCGAACATTAAGTAAACAAGCGCGTAACTCGTTGCACACAGATATACGAATCGCGTATATTCTCGTAGCGAAACACTGGAAACAAAGGTCTCTTTTATCCAGAATTCACGGGACGTTGAATAACGAATAAAGCAGTTCGTCAGGACTATGAAGATCCATCGTTGAAATTGGCCGGCTGTCGCCGGATGAACAGATTCTCCTCCTCGTTTTCCTTCTTTTTCTCCGATCGAGAAAGTCAAAGGGGTCGTGTCGAAACGCGCACGTGGCAACCATTTCTAAAAATGTCCGCTCGCAAGAAGCGGAGAGCACCTATCTCTTCATTCGACATTATTAAATTGGATGAGAATAAATTTTCCATCTTTGAATCCGCGTGCTTCGTTCGCAGAAAGAAATCTTGTGCGTTCATCGAATGTGAACTTCTTTTTTTTTTTTTTTAATATAAATACAACGCAAACGAACGAGTTCGAGACAAAGGTCTTCTCTGTTCGTAATTAACTTCCAATCGTTTCCTCCATTTCATTCGTTCGTAATTGACCATTAATTCGCCGTTTCTTCGACGCGTAGCGTCCACAATTCCACGTTCTTTCTCCTTTACTTTTTTTTAGATAAATCGAAAACTACTTCGAAACTGATTCAACGTGTATACAGGCCACAAGATTGTCGCAATATGTAATTTCACTCAGAGACTCGTCAGCTCGTTGTAACGTATTCCACCGATATCTAAGCCGTTCCTTCTTCCAGCAGAACGGGCGGAGAGAATGGAAGAGGAGCAAAAAAAAAAAAAAAAAAGAAAAAAAGGAAAGAGAAGGAACGAGGAGGAGGAGGAGGAGGAGGAACATTGGTTGGTGTAATCCAAAGCGGGCCACGCGCGTTCGAACGCGAGGATGAGTGGCGCGCGAGACAAAAGGCTCTCCTCCGCTCGAGGAGAGTTCACGGACAGCTGAATGGTGAATAATATAGCGCAGGAGGACCAAGAGGGAGGAGGACCCAATGGTAAAGGGCAAAAATATTCTCGTGCATGTACACGTGTGGATACATGTGCATACATCTCTCTCTTTTTTCCTTTCGTGTTAAGAACGAGAGAAGTGAGGCGGGAGGCGTGCAAGGGTTGAAAACAGACGAACGATAAACAGGAAGGAGGAAAAAGAGAGGGGAAAGAGAGAGAGAGAGAGGTAGGGTTAGTT